CGACTGTCGATGCAAGAAGATAAAGTCCAGGGACATACGAAAGGTGTACCGCAGCGCTCTCGACGTTGAGGCATTGGCACTGGGTGCGCGTGTCACTTATCATCGATTGTTCATGTATGGCCGGTATCAGAATTTGCGAAATCAGGGATTCGCTAGCAAATGCGTTGCAGTGGTTTGAACGGTGTATCAGTGGATCAAACGGTGTATCTGCCACTCGACGCTGTTTGAAAAGGGTGGGCTCCCCCCCGTTTGCACTTTGATTCTCACCACAGAGCTCTCATGATCTCGTGAGCCCGGGAAAGTGGCGAGAGCCAACGTTTGAAACGATTGCCGCCACTTTCAATGTTCCCAGTCTTATATGCCATTGCCAACCTGTAAATTTGTGAATGGTACTTGAGGTTGACCCGCTCCGTCTTCCATTGGCAAATGCGACCTCGTCCTTTGCGCAACGGGCGGATCCTGGTGCCATGAGAATTGAGTCTTCTGTCCGCAACGTGACCTTTGAGCAAGAAGAATTGGTTGTAATTCAAAGAGGGCTGGTCAACGCTGTGCGGTTCTTCCTGACAGCTCAAAGGTCTAGTATTGCATCGATGAAACGCCGCATTCAAGTCGAAAAGCAGCACAGCGAGTGCTCTCTCGCGTATTTTGTCTTCTTTGACCGCCCTTTCTCGACATCGTACCACATCCGACCCTGTTAAAGGGTAAGACCTTAGTTTCAGCGTTCGTGAAGATTTCTCTTGCTTTCCTTCCCACTGCAGCTAAGGTATCACTACAGAGCGTTGACAGCACCAGTTCAATCCCAGAGTTTGCCTTTGAAGGTTAAAAAGTCGTGTTTCGAATGGCCTAAAAAAAGCCAGAGAGGAAAAAACGCGAAGATTTTCGAATGAGTGGTCATTCAGAAAAATCTTGGTATTTCTTCAGAAGGGTCAATTTTCCAGTTTAATTAGCTTGAAAATCTGCAAAAAGTTGAATAATGAAGGAAGTTATGAACGTTTGAATGACGAAAACTCGCGCGTTCTCAAAAATCGGACCACAAACCCCTGAAGAACGGAACAACGGGACTATTTTTTGAGAAAGTGATCGCTGGAAAACCCCGGTTCTTTCGAAAGCACTAAATCTTCTAGTTTCTAATTAGCTTTAGAAATCTGCAAAAAGTTGATTATGAAGAAGTTATGAATGTTTGAATGTGAAAACTCGCGTGTGCACAAAAAACGGAACAACGGGACGATTTTTTGAAGAGTTGAACATTTGAATTAGTTTAAAACTTGTCAGTTAGGAAACAGTTCAAAATTTCAAATTTTCGTACCACATCTCATGAGACTGTTACGCAAAAATTTGGAGATTACATTTATTTGAAGAGTGAAATTTCATGTTGCCGATTCCCGTCCTCTGAGCGAGACAAAGCGCGCGGACTTACCACCATCCACCACCTCTCCATGTCGGTGACGGCCCACACACCGATGATGGGCATAGAAATGTGTAAAAAGAAATAACCATAACATAAATAACCAATAAACAAACAACAAGTAGTCATACTGAAATCTTCCGAAAGGGAGGGGGTCACAAAAATTTTGAAGTCCGCGCAACGCATGATTGACCCTGCATGACACCACGAACGACGCCACTGTCTTTATCCACTCGAAACCAGGGTGAATATCGGTCGAGGAAATCCTCGACAGGGGGGTCGTACCTGTCGTACTCTTGGGGGTCAGTAACAGCAGTGGTATCGTGGTGCAGATAGGTAAGAGGGTATAGCGCAGCAGAAAATGAAAATATCTGAAAAAAACATGATATTAAATTTTCTTTGCAGGTTCAGTCGCTCCATTCCTCCACCTTCATGAGAAGGGCGTATTTGAAGGCAGTACAAAGAATGAAAGTGCATCCCCGCAAAGAAGACTGCCACATGTGCGCACTGCAAAGGCACCTCCTCTGCCTATCGCTCGCTCCTTCTCCCTTAATACCTCGCTGAGAATGACACTGTTGTTAGGGACCCTGTCGCAAAAACGACAACCGTGAAGGAAAAGCCCTGGGCAAATGAAGTTGTTCTTTAGGTTGTAGGAGTTACGAAATGCGTTTACTACAATGCAGCTTCTGTCAACTGGTCATGATCATATGACACCTTCGAATCGATTCTGCAACTTCGAGTGAGGTCGGATGCATGGCCTATACTCAGACAAAATTAGATGATGACTGTAACGGTTAGGTATTCAAATGATGGTCTGTTTACATTCATTCTCCCTTTGTGCTATCTACCTAGGTCATCAGCTTATTCTAGACCTATGGATGTCATATGTTTATTTTTGATCGCTTAGCATTGTGTTTCCAGATGACGGACGATTCGAAGACGATCGAGGGGGCGGAGCGAGGACAAGGAAAACAACGAGGATTCTGCCGTCGAGACCGTTCTGCAACCGGTCGGATGACCGGGTCGTCAACTCTGCCATTTGTCCGCCTCTTCTATGATCTACGTATTGTTGTTCTGCTCATGATATCTCATGCCTTATGTCTGTTTGTCGTAATGCTTCTACATGAAGTTTATTATCCTATGATGTTGTGGAATTTGTGTGGTTTGGTTGGGCATGCCCGAGGCCTGATAGCTGATTAAGAGGGGAGGATGCTAAGAGGACATCCAATCCTTTACTGGTAGCAGCGAGTGCGGCGTCATTGAACCCCGCAATTCACTGGCCTAAATTCCTCTTATTAGAAGTGGACCTCACGGAATTAGCTCGTGAGATGACCGGTATAGGCCTCTACCGGGGGGCGAGCGGATTGATGAAATCGGGTGAATAGTGCCAGTCGTCTGGCCAACTTCTGGCGCACTTACTGTTCGTTCTCTTTTCATTTCTACCGCTTCCCTTGCATTTAATGCAGCGATGTTTGTCGGTGAACTATTCGTTGTGAAGTGATGTTCATACACCCGGGTGGAAACAGTCATAAGGACTTTCTGTCAATTGCGAGAAAAATCTCGGAAGAGGTAGACAAATGGAACCGAAGTAGAAACCTACACAAAAAATCGCAAAATCTTTCACTCGACTCTTACTTATACTTATACTTATAC